CCCCGGGAAAAAAAAAAAAAAAAAAAAAAGGAAAAGAATTTCCTCCTTTGTTTTTGTTGTTTCCCCCACATATTTTATGGGAAATGCACAAGGACAGAAAGCTGACTAACACATTGGTTAATTACGTTTTGCTTGTGTGGATAAAGCAGAGTCAGCAGTGGAGGAGGGTTTCCTCATCTGTCTGCTATCCCTACCATCCCACTGGTCTTCTCCCAAGGCAGGGTCTTTAGCCCTCACTTCACCAGCCTGCAGTTTTTCACTAGAATCCAACAGAAGCTGTGAGAAACTGAAGGATCCCTTCTGGACCACTAGAACTTGTGAAGCCCAAATTTGGGCCAAAGTGGGAATCTCCCCATGACTCCTAGAAGGGAGAGTCTGCCTAAATAATTTCAGGTCTCTGAAGAACTTTAAGAACAGACACTTTATAGATCCACAGTTCACTTCATCTCAACTAGAATCAAGGCAGGTAGCTTAATTCCAAACATTTTCTTGAATAACAATTCTTTTAAGGTTTGCTTCTGTAGAAGGAGTTTTCTGAATTAAACTGATTTAGGGTAAAGGTCCATTCAAAGATTTTAACAAAATGTGGTGAACAAATGCTACTTTGATGAAGCACTAATGGTCCTATACATTTACCCTTAGGTAAGGCAACACTCCTTGTTTAGTTTAATCCAGGCATTGGTCTATAACACTCTGAGGTCTTGAGGGAGTTAGTTTAAGCAGTCCTGTTTCTCAAAGCTCAAACATAAGAAAATTAAAATTATCTACTTTATTGGAATAATTTTAGCAGATCACATTTTCCTGGTGGTACTATTTTCAAAAGGTGAACTATGAATAAAATTTGTATATTTTACAAGCAAAATAACCTACCTAAAACCATTCTAATTTATAAATAAATGTACAAACATCCAGGGGAAACCATTGCGTTTTTCAACAAGAAGAATGACAGGAAGTATTGTCTCCTCAATAAAGGGGGACTTTTGATACTTTCACTCTGTTTTGAGGACAGCTTAAGGGTTACATTACAAAATATTTAAAATAAGATTTAGCTGCAATAGAAGAAATATACATCTATGGTGTAAAAACTTTAAGAAGTCAGGAAAGTATCACATACAAAAATTGTCCTTAATCCTCCTCAAAGAGACAACCAATGCATTACTAATAGGAGTTGAAAAAGTACTGTAACTTAATTAGTGACAGAGTTATTCTGGTCTGTAGGAAAAGAATATTTCAAGAAATATTTGAAGAAAGTACATTTAATACATGGAAAAATAATAATAAGTGTCTATTATTAATAGTAGATTTTTAAAAAATCTTTGGGTTAGATATATTCATATTCCATAAATGAGGATTTTTTAGGGATTTTTCTGCCAGCATGTTTATATGAATTAAAGCATGACTATGAAGACATTATGGGTTTACCATGTCAGAACTATGCAGAAATCAAATCAAATGGCATCTCTAGATCCAGATATGTGTACACTCTGATGAGAAGCAGAAAATGGTCTCAGAAACTTTCATTTGGTGATTTCGCTCTCCAAGGACTGTGTAAGGATGAGCCAAAATTATAAGCAGTCCTACCTGCTTCAGGAGTGAGTCAATGAAAGGACAAACTGGGATTCCCAAGGTGAGCAAGAAAAAGAGCTGATTCCAGAATCCTCAAAAAACATCAGTGGAGAAAGAAGATGGAGGTGCAATAATCCATGAGATTGTTTTCTTCTGAGTCAGAGCAACAAGTGATGCAGAGTGTGGATGGGTATAGAGGAGGTCACAATGGTCAGGCTGAGAAGACAGTGTCTCTTCCCAGCAGGTGGCTATTCTGCCCAAGAGCCCATCTTTCTCCCTCAGATATGAAGTAGCTCTGAGGCCACTCCAGATGGAACCTGAACCTGTGACCTCCCCACATAAAGACATCCATGACACCCGCTTCACCATCTGGGGCTCATAAAACCGTATTCTGTCTTTTCTTGGCTCCCAGGCTGTTCAAAAATTGCAGGGCAATATTTGAGACTGCTCTGGTTTATTCATGGGCTCTAATTTAGAACACATTTCCATAAAGAGAGGCAGAACAAAGCACAAAAGCACTAAAGTTCAATTTACATTCTCAGTCAGTGAAACAAAATGGAAATAAAAAACAGTTGTGGGGGAGTCATTTATAACTGAATTACAGCTCCAAAAGTGCCTTTCCTATAATGTCATGGAAGAAAAGAAATTTTTAAAACCACCAGAGAAAGCTGAAATGATCAAAAAGCATGAGGTGAAGGATTTCTATTTTAAAGATTGGTATTGAATTAAAGTGTTAATGATATTGCAATCTCCCCCCCGCCCAACAAATTTGGCAGATCCAAGATCCAAGTTGTTTCAATATTTCCTGGTTGAGAATCTCTTCTGTTGATACTGCCACAAGGAAGCTAGTGCAGTTCTAGGCAATCTCTGCAGGTAAAATGCAGTCTTCCATCCATCTGGTGAGACTTCCTAGATGACCACAGAGCTTATATGCCATAATATTCCTGTGATTTCCAGGTACAAATCTGCCATCATAAGTTATGTCTGGCTGGTTGCACCAAAAACTGTCCCAAATGCTCACAGATGGTTGTAATTTCAGTCACTTTGTCAGTTCCACAGCTGAGAAATGGTGCAGAGAGCATGTGCCATGCTTACATGATTACTAGTGCTGTGACATGGTAGTGATACATGAAGGGGCTCCCTGACTTCAGCTTTCAATTGGATCCTATGCAGTTAACAAGCAGCAAAAATATATGACAACTTTTTACTCCCTGTCTTGCACACATTCTGCAAAACCAAAAAGTGGAAAATCTAGGAACTTGTAAAACTAGTGGTCACATGAGATCAACCACAGCTTCCTGGGGGCCAGCTGTGTACATCACCATGCATTTGACCTTGTTGATTTCTTCTCTTCCAACTGGTGAAATTAAAGTATCTCCAAAACATTTCTGTGCCCCCAAGCAAGATTATCTTATCCATTGAGTATTTCTTTGTAAGATCTTTCCCATTTTTACAACCATTTTTTAAAGGTTTGTTTCTGCTCTCCCCCTATAAACTTTCTGAGGAAATGGAATATGTTGGCCAGGTTTTTAGCCCAGTGTTTGGTGTGCAGTTGTGTATGAGGTGGCTTGTTAAATATTTACCAATGTTTAATGCTCTAATCCATGCTAAATGCAATGATTTTCAAATGAAAATTCTTCAGCGTTTTCATTTTAGTATGATTTTATAGATGTATCTTCCAAAGAAACCTGCCCAGAAGTGTCTTTAGATATTGTAGGAAATGATTGGAGGCTAAGTCTACTAGCTTCTCAAAGTTTTCTACTCATTAGCCAGTTCCTTTTTGCCTTCCTGGGGAGAGGGTAAACTAGCAAAGGACCACTTTTCCAGGATCCTTTGCTGCCAGCTTGCCTTGAGGTATGATCACAGGTGCACCAGTGAAAGTCCCTTGGGACTTGACGAAGAAAGTTGTGACTGCTGCTACTTCTAAGCCACCTGTGTCCAGGAGACATCAAATGTGAATCTGAAATCCATCACACCCAGAATGGAGGAATGAGCTGACAAATATTCTGAAGTCCAGAGTGTATCATGAAACAGCTGAACATTCCAGCCCTTCATTGTATAAGCCATTTTTAGCCAGGTGGAAGCCTAGAGTCTTCAAACTTTTTCAATTCAACAAGCAGTTATGGAGTAATTAAGGGGAAATACAGAGCTTGACCAAAACTGAGAACAAGTAAGAAAAAATGATGTATCTTAGAATTTGTGTCTATTTGAGAGTATTATCATATTCCCATTTCTTGTTATATTTTTTCTGATATCATCTCCCAACATAAGACTGCACACATATTTTTGAACCTTATAAAATAGATCATAGCTTTAATGACACTATCCCTGAATATTTCACTCTATACCTCCAAAATTTTCACAATTGTCCTTCAGTATCTATGGGAGATTGATTAAAAAGACTTTCCTGTAGATGAACAAAAGCTATGCAAGCACAAGTCTCTAACATTAAATGATGTAGTATGTGCATGTAGCCTACATACTTTCTCACATCAACACATCTCTAGATTACTTCTATTGTCTATTAAAATATAATGCTTATGTAAATAGTTGTTTCACTTCATTGTTGAGGTAATGATAAGAAAAAAAAAAACCTCTATAGTGCTCAGGATAGATGTAGATTCTAAAGGCCTAAGCATGCAGTACCTGCATGAGATACAAAGCCAACAGCACTCAACCAATGAGGACATGTGAAAGATGGAATGCTACTGTGGGGTGTGTTACATAGCATTTCACTTGCATGGATTAAGCATAGCACTTGGTACATGGCACATTTAAGTTTTGCTTCTTGGAACTTTCTGGAATTTAAAATTTCTTTCCCATGTGATTGTTGAATCCATGATGAGGACCTGTGGATACAGAGGATGGCTATATTTCTTCTCAAAACTATGACGCCATTATCATACTTGACAAATTGAAATATACCTAATTCCCAAATGTAGTCTAATGCCCAATTCTTATCTAAATTTTCTCATTTGTTCTTTGCTTTTCTAAAACTAGGATCCAGTCCCTTTTGTGATTCATAAATGTGATGACTGGGTTTTCACATCATTGTGTGATGTATGCCTTCCTCAAATCTTGTTACTTTTTGGTTCATTACCCACCTGATATAAAAATAAAATGAAAATAAAAGCAATGATATGATCATTGTCTAAGGAAGGATATGTATAGGTTGTAAGCAAATACTATAATTTGGGAATTCATGAGTTGGATTTCCTGAGGAGTCTTGGAAACAATTCCTGAGGATACAGGGACACTGGATGAATTTGTCTCACCTGCTGTTCTCCATTGATAAGTGTGTAGATCCTTGTCATGCTTTCCAGCTCTCTAGTCACTTTAGGAAAGAGTACTGATTGAAAATTTGGAAAGATATAAACAAGAAGTCTCCCTGACCACTTTCCAACATTAATGCACATCAGAAATCCATGGCCAAACAAACTCAGAGGAGGTGTGGAAAGAAATGGAGATAACAAGGAGCCCTATGGGCCAGGCTGTCTTTCATCTGTTATCATAACCAACCCTTTCCTCTATTGCCATTATATTACAAGAGCACCAGTAACCATGGCTCCTAGTAGTGCTTTCCCTAGGTGGCTTTGGGACAGAGTCTCTCACAAACAAACACTTGTAAGACATTAGGAAGACAGAAGAGGAAAGACTAGCATTCTGCAGTGACAGAACACAGGATCTGATGGTGAGTTTTGGGTGTTTTTTCAGCAGTTCACCTTACATCCACTAAGAGAAAGTTTCCTAAGATTCAAGAAAAGTGTGGGAACTCTCTGATAATCTCCCAAGAATCACTCACTTTGGGACTTCAGGCTAAAACTTTTAGTCAACAGACACCTAATTTACATTTATCCCCCCACTTTTCAATAATTATGTAAGCCCCTAATCCTTCATAAAATCTTAAAGCACTTAAGAAGACACAATGGAAACTGGAAAACAAAAAGTGGATTTTTACATCTGAAAAATCCTAACAAATATGAATGATAATGATCCTTAGAAAGACTCAAGTATGTGTTGCACAAATATAACAAGACTGTATATAGAATCAGTGTTATTTCATTTTTTTGTGTATTTTGTAGAATTCAACAATGAAGCCATTTGAGTCTGCTGTTTTCTTTCCGTTATTATCTTTTTAATGTCAATGTAATGCATATTATATCACTTTTTTTCACTCCTGCACTACATACTTTGTGTTACTCTAGCTAAAGATCCATCAGTTTTATTGATCATCTCAAAGATTTCATTTTTTGTCTGCTTTCTATTTCATTGAATTCCTATTTGATCATTGCTATTTTCATCCTCATAGTTTAGGTTTAATTTGCTTTCTTATTTCTTGTACTTTTGTGTATGGCAGAAACTGAGGTCATTGATTTCTATGCTACTTCTTTTCCTCTAAGTGTTACTTCAGCAGGATGCCCACAAAATTTGATTTATGATGTTTTCATTTGCATTTAGTTCAGAGCACTACTTTATCTTTTTGTTTCTCTCCATTCTTTAGATTATTTAGAATTGATAGATTCATGCCATCATGCTTCTATAAACTGTTCTTTCATGTTGAGAGTAAAATGTATAATGTAACACATTATGTTTTATAATTAATAAGTATTTACATGTGGTATTCCCAGTTTACTACAGGTACCATTCTATGTGCTATATAAAATTAATTTATTTAGTGCTCACTTCAGCAGCACATATAACAAAATTAATTTATTTACTATTACTCTACTGTAAAGTAGTCAGTTTATAGCAGGGCATGGAAATTGCTAGGTGGAAATTGAAAAAGCAAGATATGTAACTTAAGACTATAATCAATTTTGTTGATGATAGGCTTTTGTTAGTTTATTTTGTTGCACAGGTTACATTAGGATTTACCAAGAAGGATTTGGTTTCCATCCTATATGAATACTAACTTTCTTTCTCTCCTTAAAAGGAGAACAACTTTGTGTTTTATTACTTCAACAAGATTTCAATCTTGTTTTTCAATTAGTCACAATAAATTTTAGATGTTACTATTCATATCATTTTTATGATATGGCATAAGACTCTCAGATAATACTGACAGAAGTAGTGTTGGAATTTATGGCACAATGCATCATTTGTATAATCTACACCCCCCAAGAGATGCATAAATCATACATTCTTGTATAGCATGACAGGAGTTCCCAGATGTATCAGCGAAGGCACTCTGTGCACATTTGTGGAATGCCACAGCCCATATTCCAGAGAAAAATACCACTTTGGATGATTATCCTATGGCTGAAGATATAGAACCCAAAGGGAGGTGGTGGCACATCACTCTAAAAAGTGATAGGACCAGGGAGTAAACCAAGCCAGTTATGCCACCAGTGTGGTTTCTGGCTTTCTGCATGCATCTGATGACTGTTCAGACAATGTCAAATGAAAAAGGAGAGGGGAGCATGAAATATGAAAGTAGCCATTAGGACTGGCTCAGAGGTAGAGCTGAATATTGAATAAATGCTTTATACAAATAAGTGAACTTGGGTTCTATAGACAGTGATACATGCTAAGGAGGAAATACAGCAGCATAGGGAGATAAGAAAGGTTAGATTTAGGACTATGGTTTCATGACAGGATCCATTGAGGTTACGCTAAACAAAACAGCCTGTTGTGCTATTATGACTTGTGTCTAGATGACTCTCCAAAGCCTCATGCAGTCATAGGTGGGGGCTTCTTCAGAGGAGGCTGGATGTAGATTGTATAATGCTTGGTGAAGGGTGTGTGATTACTAAATTGGTCTACTGATTGCCAGGGCATAGTTCGGAGTGTGGATAACAGTAAGGCCAATCCTGGATGTGAGTGCAACTCTACCTGAGAGCAAGTAGCCTGGGTATAATATAAGGGACAGAAAGAGGGCTGATATGGTCGCTTGCTGCTTGCTGCTTTTGCTGCCTTCTGCCTGCCATGTAGTCACCTCTATAATGACTCTCTCATGCCACCCTGCCAAGGGGCTAGCCAATTATGCACCAAACCCTCTACAAACTGTAAGCCAAAATGAACCTTCTCTTTGGTTGTCAAGCAATGAGAAAAGTAACCAAGACACATGGATTTCAGACAGTTGGAGGGTGAGCACAGGTAGACACCTGGTGTGTGTGGGGAACCTGTGTGCAATGGATGAGAGATAGACAGTGTCATGAGGCACAGGGCACATGAGAACAGAGGGTCAGACCATGTGGAGTCTGTTGGCAAAAGGAGGATGCTTGCTTTTCCTTTAGGTGAGGACACTTATTGAAAGACTTATTGAGGACACTGACTTATTGAAAGTCAGTGGGGAAGAAACGAATATGCAAGTTGAATTTTGTTTTCTTCCCCATTAAGTTTATTGGTATGTTTAAAGCAAACAATACAGCTACATTTGTCATTGAGATCTTGTACTTTACATGATGTCTTGATTCTTATTTTTTGCCCATACCCCTGCCCTCCCTTCACCCTTCCCTATTTACAAAGACTTTCTTTCCATTTTTTTCTTTTTTCACATTTTTCATTTCCCTTATTTCCTTTCCCCTCCCTTCCCACTTCCCCTTCAGCCATTTTCTTCCTATTTCACCCTCTCAATTATACCATTTGAACCTTATCTACACTTTTAGTTCTTCACACCAGAGAAACTGATATTTACTCAACTGTTTCCTGTTTATTTCACTTAAGACTAGAGACTCAGTGTGCATACATTTAACTATAAATGTTTCTAGTTACTCATTCTTTATATCTGAATAGTATTCCATTTTGTTTTTAAAAAAACACATCTTCTTTACCCAGTCTCCAGTTGATGGGCATTTGGGTTGTTTCCAAGTCTTAGCTATTACAAACTGTGAAGATATAAACATGGGTACACATATATCACTGTGGTATGAGTCTTTTAATTCTTTTGGAAAGATATCCAGCAGAGGGACAGCTGGGTCAAATGGGATCTCTAATCATAGTACCTTGAGGTATCTCCATATTGATTTCCACATAGGTTGCACCAGTCTGCACTCACATCAACAATACAGAAGCATTCCTTTCCACCACCAGCATTTGTTATTTGCTGATTTCTTGTTCGAAGCCATTCTTTTGGGTTAAGGTAGTTTCTCGGTGTTCTTTTCATCTGTATCTCTCAAGTGACCACTGATGTTGAAAATTTTTTTCTTATATTTATTTGCTGTATGTACTTGTTTGTCTGAGAAATGTCTGTTCATTTCTGATGCCCATTTTTAAATTGATTCTTTGCATTTGGGGATATGATTGTTTGAGTTCTTTATATTTTCCAGATAGTACTCCTTTTTCAGAGGAGTAGCTGGTAAAATTTTTTTCCCAAATTATAGTCTATCTCTTAGCTCTGTTAGTGGCTTCTCTTGCACTGAAAAAACATCTTAATAAGATGAGATCCCAGTTATTGATTACTTGTGCAAGTTCTCAGGCTGCTGAGGATATGTTCAGAAAGTCTTCTCCTATGTCAATGTCTTTGAGAGTTCTATCTAATTTATTGTCCAGTAGATTTAGCGTTTTGATATATAGATCTTTAATTCACTTGAATTTTAGTTTAGTGCATGGTAAAAGATAGGTGTCTCATTTCAACCTTTGGCAAGGAGAAATCCAGTTTTTCCAACACCATTTATTAAAAAGGCTATCTTCTCTTCAGTGAGGATGGCTGGCTCCTCTGTCAAAGATGAGGTAGCTGAGTTCAGCTGAAGTTATTTCCGTATCTTCCAATCTATTCCACTGATCCTCAGGCCCCTTTTTGCCAGTACCATGCTGTTTTTATCACACAGGCTTTATGGTATAGTTAAGGTGGGAATTGTGATACCCCCTGCCATGTTTCTGCAAAGCTATTCTAGGTGTCTTCTGATTTCAAACGAACTTTTGGATTGTTTTCTCAAGTTCTGTGAAATATGCTGTTTGGATTTCAATCAGGATTGCATTGAATCTGAATAGCAGTTTTGGAAGTATGGCCATTTTGACTATGTTGATTCTTCCTACCCAGGAGCAAGGGGTGACTTTCCATTTTCTTATATCCTCTTCTATCTCTCTTTTTTTTTCCAGAGCACTGTAGTTTTCAGTGTAGAGGTCTTTTGTCTCCTTCATTAGATTGATCCCTAGATATTTCATTTTG